TGTCCCCCTCCCTCTCCCCGCCAGGCCCTTGGTCCCCCGTCCCCACCACGAACCCGAGCCTGGACTGAGGTGTCCCATTTAGTCCCCAAAGCAAGTGGGGCTGGGAGAGGGGTACCCTTTCCAGTTTCCTGCTCAGCGACTCCCCTCCTCCCCTCCGCTGGGCACTGCCCGCCGGAGTGGTGGAGCTGGGCGCTCGGACTGGGGAGCAGGGAGGGAGAGGTGGGGGCCCCCCCGGCGAGGCTGAGCCCTGACCCGGAACGCCGGCTGGAAAGGGCTGGCAGTTTTCTGAGCCGGGTGGCCTCTGGGGCAGGGGCGGAGGTGCCTGCGAGCCAAGTCCTCTGAATACCCCAAGCCTGCTCCGCGTCCCCCCGCCCCGACCTCCCCAGCCACAACGCCTATCCAGCTTTCCAGTTCTCACCTTGGGGGAGAACTCCATTTATTTCCTTAAAGAGGTGGAATTGATTTTCTAAGCAAGGCTCGCGTCGTTGAAATAAGTTGGCGCCAAGGGGAAAAGGAGAGAAACTTTTGGCATCGACTACGTATATAAATGTATATAAATATACTTCACACCTCGCCTCCCCTACATTCCTGACGCGCCCCCAACGGGGCCAAGGTTAAAAGCAAAGCGCCAACACAGAGATGGACAAATAGATCCCGGATTTGCCCCTCGCACACCCCGATGTGCTGGGTGTGGCGGCAGGGAGGAAAGGGGGGGCCTGGGTTGGGGTATGGGTTGGTGCTGAGGCGGGGACGCAGGACCCGCGCCCGGCGCCCAGACTGCCCGGGTCTTTCGGCCGCTTCGGAAGCGCGCAGGCTGACCTCGGCGCCCCATCCCTGTCCTCGCTCACCCCGCCTTGGCCGTGGGTCTCTCTCCCTGTGGGCTGCTGGCGGGCGGACCCGCACAGTGCATCTGGGGTCCGGGCAGGGTGGGGTGTAAGCGCGGGAGGAGCCGTGCAAGGGCCTTGAGTAAAGATTGATCTTCGTAAAAATGGTTGCCACCGGCGTCGTTATGACCATCAAAGTCATCGCCAAGAGGCTCAGCCGCCGAGCCCAGGCGGCGAGGAGCAGCAGCAAGGCTGGCCCGCGACTCTCCGCGCCGGGAGGCAGCGCGGGGAATACCCGGGGCGACAGGTAAGGGGCCGGGGTGGGGGGAGGGAGGAAGGAGAAAAGGAGAGCTGAGTAGGGAAGAGAGGGCAGCGGGACGGTAGGGGGAAAGGCCCTCTTCTTGGCCCCGTTTGACCTCGAGACCCGGCAACTTAATCACAAACAATTTGATTTGAAGAGGGAAGGGGAAAGCTGGCAACGTAAAAAGTGGATTTGGGGCGGCCCATATGGCGCTGTAAATCGCGACTGCGTTTTAAGTTAGCTGTCGAATTCTGCTATGAAATCGTCCAGCAGAGTTCATTTCCCCCAGGGAAAACCCGTAGGCGAGAAGCCTATCCATCAGCAAGATTATAAAAGCAAAAAACCTGGGACTTCAAGTTCAGAACTCACTCTGCAAACGGTGTTAAAAAATCAGAGAGGACCTAATGATTTCCGTTTGGAGGCGCGGGCCCAGCGCACCTCCCCAGCCACGTAGCACTAAACTGCTTTCAAAAGTCTACAAGATCTCTCTCTCTCTCTCTCTCTCTCTCTCTCTCTCTCTCTCTCTCTCTCTCTCCTGGGAAGGAGAAGAGCAGCCTGGCTGAGGCGAAGTGGGGGAGAGAGAGAAGTCGGCGTCCTATTTGTTAAATAAAAGACATAGTTCGTTCTGAAATTCAAAAGATAAGTAATCCAGACAGGAGCGCAAGGTCTTCTCCTTACGCAACTCTTCCTACATCCTCCCCCTTGTCCACCCCTCACCCCCTCCCAATTGTAAATGTTCAAAAAAAAAAAAAAAAGAAGCTTCCCTAAGACGATCTACTCTGGAAAAATCAAAGCATTATCTATTATTTAACACGTATCTGTGTCCGAGGAAAAATGAGGAAGGCGCTGCATGATTAGGACCTAAGGGGCAACCCAGCAAACTGAGAGCGTAATGATGCCCCTAAATGAAGGGGGAAATGTGCCGCGGAGCGCTCTATTAATCAGACTGTCAATTTCACCCCCGAGGCCAAACCCCCGGGCGAGCAGAACCGGCTCTGAACGCGCAAAGGACCGGAGCCTTCCTCCTCACTTCTTGTCTTTTCAAGCCTCCTACCTGGATCTATTTGTCTGCTCCGAAGCTGCCTTCATTACCCACTGACAGGAGCGTGTATTTATTTGCTTATAAACCTGTTACAATAAATGATTATTCGAACGGCGTCATTCGTACCTTAATGACGAGCGAGCGCTACTTTTTGATGAATGACATCTTGGGCTCGGAAGGATGTATGGGTCATTTTGACCAGTCATTCCCTCGCTCTGGCATTCCACAATTTTTCTGCCTCCCTCCAAAAGAGATAATAATATCTAGAGGCGCTCGCTGGGGCTGAATGAGAATTAGCCCTAGGCGCAGCCCATCATTAGGACGGGACAGCCGGACCACTGTGACATTTTTCAGAAAGCTGAGATGATGGAAAGAATAAGAAAAGAGATGATTCTGATGGAGAGAGGGCTGCACAGCCCCACGGCCGGCAAGAGGTTCTCCAATTTGTCCGACTCGGCTGGCAATGCTGTACTCGAGGCCCTGGAAAATTCGCAGCACCCGGCTCGCCTTAGCCCGCGCCTGCCGTCCGCCCCCCTGCACAGCTCTCTGGGAGACCTCCCTGCCAAGGGCAAATTCGAAATAGACACTTTGTTCAACCTGCAGCACCCGGGCAGCGAAAGCACCGTCTCCTCCGAAATCGCCTCTGCCGCGGAGGGCCGCAAAAAGCCGGGCCATTATTCCGAGGCGGCCGCCGAGGCGGATATGAGCAGCGACGTGGAGGTGGGCTGCTCCGCTCTGCGCTCCCCCGGCGGCCTCGGCGCCGCGCCGCTTAAGGAAAACAATGGCAAAGGTAACCGCGCCGCGCTCTCCAGTCCCATCCTCCCTGTTCCTCCGGGGCTGCTGCCTGCCCTTCCCCGTGACTTTGCCCCTTTGCTCCCCCCGCAGCAAGCGGCCGCTCGCCCGCTCTAGCAGGGGCGGGACGCCTGCGGGGGACCGTGCCCTCGGGCTCTGATCATTGAGTGTCTCCAAGAGGCGCAGGCCTGAGGCTCCAGGCCCGCCTGACGGCCTGCCCCGGCTCCCGAGCCGGAGAAAACGTTCCTGCGCTCGGCTCTAAAGCCGATGCGCGCCGACCCACCCCTAGCCAGCCGCGGAGTCCGCTAGGCTAGGGAAGAGTGCACTGAGCGGCTGCTCTGGTCTCCTCTGCTCTGAGCTCCCAAGGCCGAGTGGAGGGGGCATTCTGAGTAAGTCGGGGGGAGCCTCGCCGGGCGCCTTTGGGAGACCCGCTTGGGTCAGCGGGAGAAAAAGAGTGGAAAAGTAAGGTCCACCCCCTCATGGTTCCGGTTTGAGCGGCTGCTGGCTTTCAAATCTTAAAATTTTAAACAAACCCCAAAAACAGTCAAAGTAGGGTTAGAGGCCGCACAGAAAGCTGCCCGGTGGTCCCCAGACCATGGCCAACCCAGAGCTTCCCCAACTGCGCCTGGATGTGGGCATTTTCCCTTGGAAAATTTTCCCAGAGTTGAAAATTTCCAATTATTATTTTTTTTTAAAACCACCCTAATTGAGTTCTTATTATTTGGTTATGAAGTGCTCCCCAAACTTTATTGATTCCATTAACGGCAGCAATTTGTAAGCCTGACAGACCCCATCAATTCAGGCAGCGCCTCGCCTGGCTCTCGCGGCTTCCCCCAGCCGCGCGCAGCCCCAGCGAGGGGATCGTGGCCCTACAGTGACTCATGCGCTGTCGGCCGTTCGTTTGCCAGGGTACGCGGAGAGCGGATCCGCCGGGGGCACCACGACGTCCTCGTCGGGCTCCGGCCTCGGCAGCCCACATGG